CACAGACAGACACACACACACACATACACACAGACACAGACACACACACAGACACACAGACACACACACAGACACAGACACAGACACACACACACACACACACACACACACACACACACACACACACACACACACACACACACACGCATGCACGCATGCACGCATGCACAGTCGAGGCGGAAAGGGGCACGGAGGTGAGCGGCAAACACAACACCACACCACACCATCACAACACCACGTCACTTGTCCTTCCTCACGATGCAGTGGTTGTTTTCGCGCTCACCCGCTCAAAGTCGGAGGCCATTTTGCCAATTGTAACGAGTGACAGCTGCAAATGGCAAACCAATCCTGCGTTCTTGCGCAAAAACACTGACCTCGAATTTCCATGCAAATCATTGCCGATCTTCAGCATTGTTGTCCTCCAGCCAAAACAACGACGCAACAAGCACGACCAGCCAGCCAGCCAGCATCATGCGCCTGCTCCAAGAGGTGAGTGCTCTGCTGACGCTCCTGTTGCTGTCGTTGTTGTTGGTGGTGTTGGTGTTGGTGGTGGTGGTGGAAAGGGGGGGGGGGGGTCCTTGCTTGCCACACCAAGGTCGTTGGTTTCCAGACAGGGGTCGTTGTTTTCCACCTGAGGCTCGTGTATCGATGCGTTGCTGCGAACACGGTCTTACTCTGTGCAATTCATGTCTTCCATCTATTTTCCATGGTGCAGGAGATTGTCCAAGAGGGCGGTCAGGTCGCTTGCTTCGATCCGTCCGAGTTCCGCCCGGAAGGCAAGGAAGTCAAGGATTTCCGCGACTTTGAGGTCTGTGTGGCAGTTCTGTGTGTGTATATGTGTATGAACGCGCGCGCGCGTGTGTTTGTGTTTGTGCGCTTATGCGTGCGTGTGTGTGTGTGTGTGTGTGTGTGTGTGTGTGTGTGTGTGTGTGTGTGTGTGTGTGTGTGTGTGTGTGTGTGTGTGTGTGTGTGTGTGTGTGTGTGTGTGTGTTCTTCGTTGTGTGCGTTTGTGTGGTTTCGGTGGACGCTGCACGGGTTCCTAGCAAGTGTGTCGCCGTTTATCACCAACCAAAACGTCGCCTTGTCTTTTTCTTTTCTGGTTGACCACACAGCACACGCCGCGCTTTGCCATTGTGCGCGAAAACTACCGCAAGATGTATGAGAACCAGACCTTGGAATATGCCAAGACACAGAAGGCGCTCTGGTGCAAGTACGTGTATGAATTGGAGATGTCTCACATGTTCCGCGTGCACTTTGGCTTCCATAGCAACCCTGGCCGCTCACTGGCGCATGGGTGGACGTGAATATGTGTGTGTGTGTGTATGAATGTGTGTGTGTGTGTGTGTGTGTGTGTGTGTGCGCCTCTCTCTCTCTCTCCGTGTGCGTGTGTGTCTGGGTAACTCACTCCCTCTGTGTCTCTTTCCCTGTGCTCCCTCCCTGCCCCCCACACACACACCTACCGCTCACTCTGTTTGCCTGCCTTTATTCTGGCGTCAGGTTCGACCATGCTGAGATGAACGTGATGGACGCACTGACGGAGCTCAACAAGCTTGTCGACGACAGCGACCCGGATGTGGATGTGCCCAACATCATGCACGCCTTCCAGACGGCCGAGCGCATCCGCGAAAAGCATCCAGACAAAGGTGGGGCGTGGGTGATTTGTGCGATTTTGTGTTACTTGAGTGTTTTGCGGTTTCTGGTTTGTGCTCTCTCTCTGTGTGCGCGCGCTCGTGAGCGTGTATGTGTGTGTGTGTGTGTGAGGTCATGGTGCATCAAATGTATCAAGGCTAACACGCAACACGCACGTATGTGTGCATTCAACCTCCTCACCTTTTGCCATTGCCCCTGATTTTGCGGTGCTGTCGTGGCCCATTCAGACTGGTTCCACCTGACCGGCCTGATTCACGACCTGGGCAAGGTGATGGCCCTGTGGGGGCAGCCCCAGTGGTCCACCGTCGGCGACACATTTCCGCTCGGCTGCAAGTTCTCAGACACTATTGTCTTCCCCGATCTCCTCGACCTCAACCCAGACACACAAGTGAAGGAGTACAGGTGTGTATGTGTGCGTGACTTGTGTGCATGTTTGTGTGTGCGTGTGTTAGTCGTGTGGTTTGTGGGTGTGCATGTTTGTGTGTGTCTTCGTTATGTTTAGGCTACATCATGTCTGTGTGTTCATTCACCACATTCATCCTGTGGTGATTGATCTTGTGGCTTTCTCTCTCTCTCTCTCTGTGCCTGTCTGTCCCCCACTCCCCACGACATGTTCTGTCTCTCAACTCCAGCACTGATGCTGGCATTTATGAGCCGGGCTGTGGGCTGCGCAACATCACGATGGCGTGGGGCCACGACGAATACCTCTACCAGGTACAACAGCGTTGCAGGGTGATAGTGCGTGTGTGTTTGCAGTGTTGAGTGTGTGTATGCGTGCGTGAGCAGTGGTGAATTTGCAGCCGTTACCGGCTGGTTAGGGTGTATGCATTGTCATGACAGGCCGCACAGAGACCCATGCACTTGTTCGCTGAAAACGAAATATCACACACACACACACGCACACACACACACACGCACACACACACATACGCACATCTGATGCGACAGGTGCTGCTGCACAACAAGTGCACGCTGCCGATTGAGGCGCTGTACATGATCCGGTTCCACTCGTTCTACCCGTGGCACACAAAGTGCGTGAACGTGTCAGGAAGAAGATCATGGGAGGGGTGTAGTTGTCGGTTGCACTCTCAGAGCAATGCACGCGTGCGTTTGTGTGTAATTTGTCATCTCCTCATAATTCCAGCAATACTCACACTCGCTGGTGTTCATCTACACACACACATACACACACACACGCACATCACATCACAACAGGGAGGCGTATGGGCATTTGCTCGACGATACGGACCGCGACATGCTGAAATGGGTTCGCGAGTTCAAGTGAGTCCATGACACACGTCGCACGTGCACACTCTGCAGGAGCAAACAGCTCAAATCACCACACACACACACACACACACACACACACACACACACACACACACACACACACACACACACACACACACACACACACACACACACACACACACACACACACACACACACACACACACACACACACAC